TTCCTTTTTTTCTCCTCTCCTCCCCTGACAGACAGTACTAGTTAAAAGTTCCACTCGTGTTTTCTCCTCCTGCTCCTATTCTGTCTCCTCCTATGGGACTCTCCAAAAAGTGTGACAGTGTAACAGCTTCTTCTTCCTCCTCCACCTCCTCTTCCTTCTCCTTGCCATGTCCCCTGCTGTACTGTTTAATCCCGTCAAATACCATGTCTTCTCCTGTCTCCCGACTGTCTTCTTTCTCTCTTTCTTTCCATCTCCTCCGTGACACAGTGCAGAAGTTTCTCCCCTCTGCTCCTCCTCTTATCTTTATATGTCGACAGTTTTCAAAGATACCTCCAAACCCCTCTTACTTTTCCCTCGTCTTCCTCTGATGGAACCCCAATCCATCAAACATGACAATGTGTTAAAATCATCTCCTCTCCTCTCCTCTCTTTACTTTTTTCCCTCCATCTATGGAGCCTCTTCTCCAGTCCTTCATACTCCCTCCTCCTATCCCTGTCGTCTTCCATCACTTGTGTGGAACTAGGGACTCAAAGCATGACGAGGTGTGAAAGCCCACATACACACTACACACACACACACACAAACACACAGCTTCTTGTCAGCACATATTGACCCATGTTTCATCCAGACAAATACACACACAAAAAACAACTCAATTTTTCCTCAAAAATGTGTAACTATGTTTGATTGTGTGCCAAATGAGAACAACAAGAAAAAAACACGTAATTTCAACCTATCAATGAATATGTTACAATTTAACAACAATTTAATTTCATATTCAAAGCTTTGCCTTTGAGTGTCTTTTGTGTTTCTAATTGTTCAGAAATGCAACTTTTAAATATGGGGAGAATGGTGTACATTTTAAACGGTCTCTACTGGAAGGCATTTTTCAAAGAAAATGGCAGAAATAGTTGAGTGAGGAATGAAAAAATGGGTCCTAAATCATTAATCAAACTATAATCTAATTATTGTGAGCAGCCACTTTCATATCTGATATGCATATATATACATACTTTGTTACAGTTTTCAGCAGTGATCTAGAATTAAAATCTGTGGAATTTAATGTGATAAACCATATTAATTTAAGATAACAAAGATTGATTTTGTGAGAAAAGAACAACATAATTTTATTTATTTTATATAATAAAAATTACCTCAAACAGGCTAAAAGAAATAGTTGAGCATTTGTTTGAATTCAACCAGAATAGTACATAAACAAACAAATAAGGTGCTAGACATCAGCTTCACCAAATATCTTTAGAGAACGTTAGAAAATGGCAGAGGCGAAAACATGACACTCAAATATAAAACTCTCAGATTCTCTAAAATGAAGGATCTGCTTACAGATTAGTCTTTGGATTTTAGGACAGCAAACTGGAAGAATCACAGCTACATTTTCAGAACTCACTCGTTTGTTGGCACAACTTCATTTTTTCATAAACCACTGATAATTTATTAAATCCGGATGTTATTTATATATTATATATTTAGATTTATTTATACCAAGAAAACAGTGCATGCATGTTCTTATCCCACAGTCAGACTGGATGAATATAAAGAAGGAGGGTTAAGAGTGACAAAGAGATCATTAATTTAATTTATTAATTAATGTGAATTTAGTGATTTGAAGATTTGCGCCTATCAGGATGAAGACCAAGATATTAGGATGTCTAACCAACATATAAAGGTGCTCATGGAGGAAGAATGGACTAGAAAACTAATGAAAAAATGTGTAATAAAAATGTATATCAATACAGACCTTTTTCACAGCAGCCATTTTGAGGGCAATCAAAGGTGTTGATGATTGTTGTTAAGGTTCGGTTCCATTTAGTGTAGTAGAGCCTTTCCAGTGAGCCGCACCCTGACTCTGTTTGACCAGAATGGATTATAACCTTAATTAATATCATTGGTAAGACCCGTTTTTACCCTACTCTCTATTTACTAGTCAAAAAGGCTGCTGTGAAAAAGGTCTGTTGTCCCCACATGTAGTCATTTGTTCGCAGTGAAAATACCAAGGCAGCAGTATTAATTTGACAGCTGTGTTGTCAAGGTTGCTAACTGAATAAGTAATGCACTCTTTGTTGGCTTGCTCTGGCAGTTTGCCGAAGCTCATTTGAATTGAAACTATATCAGGAAAGAGGGAAAGAAGGAATTAGAGAGGAAGGCAGAGAGAGATGGAGGAATACAAATTGGAGGTTTTAATACTGAGAAGCAGTGACAAAGCGGATGAGAAGACAGAAGGTAGATCAAAAGGAAAATAAAGATTAAAAGAGAAGGAGTAGGGGTTAACAGTTATGTAACAGAGGGACAGATATTTTGGGATAGAAGTAGATTATGTCCTTCCCGCATTTTTTGTCCGCCTATTTAAAGATACAGTATCGACTGTTACTAGGAATAAAAGTAGAAAAGAACAAAACAGGCCCAATTTGAAAATAAATGTAATTATACTTTAATGCTGAGTTCCCTGCGTATTCAGACATTTCAGCAATATTTCTGTAGATGTTCTCTGGCTGTAAAACACATTCAGTCGTATTTAATTGAATTGAGCTGCAAAGGAGCAGAGAGAAGGACACCAGAGGGGGGGAAAAAATCAAAATGATAAATGGTACAGACAGCAAACTTTGACAGGAAGCAGCATCTCACCCTGCAACATTCAACCTCTGTCAGGTCCATTTAAACACACACACACACTCAAGGAGGGAGTACAGCTAACAAGGATACTGCCCAGTCATGTTCATCCCACATTAGACTTAGTGTGGGCTGTTAATTGAGTTCATTAAATCACCATTACACAGTGTGTAATTGTGCATGTGTGTGTGTAAATTAATTAATTGTGAATTGAAGAACCACAAAGGGCATGTGAGATATAAGTCTGGCCAAGCAGTTTAAGTGAAAATGATATTTTTAAAGTGATTTTCAGAGCAAAAACAGCTTTTTGATTGTCACTGTGTTTGTAACATTGTCTATACTACTACCACTGTCTCTGCTGATTAAAATCGCTGTCAAATCAGGTGGTCTCTTCAAATGCTCTATAACCTTGATGCATCCCATCATAATGAAGAATGATTATTAATAAGCTGTGTACGTATACAGTACGCTCCAAAAGCGAGAGACAAATATGTTGCCTGCAAGCCTGTTGTTTATCTGAATCAGTAATTTCAGAACTTAAATGGCTGAACCTGTTGATTTAGACAACAATATAAACGTGGTTCAGACTCGATTCGGCTCTGCTTTGATTCAGCTTTAATGGATTCTGTTAGCAGCCAGAACAGGTGCAACTCATCAAGCCAATCAACGCAGCGTCTGTAGAGTCTTCAACCATGTGCAGCTTTTTGTGTTTTACAATAGAATAAACCTACCTTTTACTGAAATATGAATGGTTGCCAGTTTAAAGTCAAACAGAAATCTTTATAATAAAGTTCCATTATGAAGGAAACTAATAATGTTGTCTCTTGTCTGTAGCAGGCTGCTGTCTGTAACAGTGACATAGCTTCTTTAGGTAAAAATGGCTTTAAATGAAGCCATTTGATTGGCTGTATGGAAACAAGTTATCCATTGACATACCGGCTCTCCAACTGGAAACCAGCTTTAACCATGCATTAAACAAAATGCAAAAAAAAAAAAAAAAAGCACAAAATATACATTTGCACAGATGTTTTCTCAAAGCATAGGACATGTGTGCTATAGCAGAAAAAAAACATGCAGTTTGATTGCAGTTGTTCGGTTGCTGTTCTTTTTCCCTTCAGCTTTCGTGCTTCATGGACGCCACAATGCCAAACTGCTTCTTGCTTATGACATTGCTTATATGAGTGTTGAAGTTTGACGAAAGTGCTCCTGGCAGAAATTTGCATGCATGTGTGTGTGTGAGTGTGTGTGAGTAAGCTATACGCTCCATGCTGTAACTCAACTGGGGGGGAAAAATGACCAATCAGCTGATGCAGACCCACAATGCACTGCACTATAATGGAAGGCATGGATAACTATTCCCTGGTGGAAAATGTGATCATGGCCTTTCTCTCTCTTTTAGGTTTCTCTGTAGATCTCTCTCACTTTCTCTCTCTCTTTCTGATCCCAGCAGTGAGTTCAGGCTCTATACTGAATCTCAATTACTGACACACACCATAAAGAAAAGGGGAAAAGAAGAAGAAGAAAGGGGTGAAAGGGAGGCAGGGCGTGCGTGAGAAACACAGACAGGAATAATGGGATTATAGAGGAACTGGGAGTACATTTTCATTCATGTTTTTGTAATTGATTATATAGGTTGAAACCACAGACACATCTAGATATTAATTTAACAAAAATGTGGATGCTAGAGATGATTTATTTGAATCCTTTATTTCAGTTTAGTTCAGAGTTCACAGTTTTCACTGTCACCAGAAAATAACATACTGTATATCACAGCTGCGCTAACAATGCTGCTTCACCCAAAACCTAGAATGTTAGATGATAATGGTTTGATTGTGAAGATTTTGAATAAAGAGCTTTATTTATTTCAGCACTGAACTCCAGAGTTTTAAAGAATTGCCAGATGGATGGTGTCATTACACATTAAAATGTATGATTCCCACGGTAGTGAATCCATATCAGCGGGTACAAATTGACAATTATTTTGGGCTGCTGAGAGGGTTTAAATGTTTAATACAAATGTCTCAAGAGTTTGTTGAAACCTGAGGAGATTACACATATTATCTGAGTGTCACAAGGAGTTCAGCATCTTTGGTTGAGCATTTTTCTTTGATACTCTTCATTTAGAGTTTCACTTTCTACTCTACTCTATATTCTGTCTCATTATTACCCAATACCACCACATCAAAATCTCATTGGCCTGCTTTATATGTTTTTAACAGTTTTGGTATTTTATTGTTAGTTTAAGATTTATGCACTCTGGACTCCCTCGGAAACTGTATTAATGCTAAAATGAAGTAAAAGTAAGTCTGCAAGGCCTGCTGCCATCTGCTGTTCTAACGCTGCTTTTGGTTGTTGTCTTGTGATGTTTTCAGAGGAACAGCAGAAGGAAGAGGAGGAGGAAGAAGAGCCGCTGGCGGGAAAAGATGAAGAGGAGCGGCGTATTGCTGAGATGGGCCGTCCCATGCTGGGAGACCACGTCAAACTGGAGGTCATCATAGAGGAATCATATGAGTTCAAGGTAAGGCACTGGAATGTGTTTTTGTGTGTATGTGGTCAGATAAAAGAAAGTCTGATCGGAGGTTGATCAGTCCAAAGAGGGCAAGAGCGCATCTTATAATGTGAAATCTTGCTTTGCCTAAGCACTGGCATGTCTATGTTGGTACTTCTCATTATATTTGAGTCTCCAAAAATATCAGTATTGTAGTGGCACATTTAGTAAATTTACTCCAAAATTCAATTTTATGACGACCTGCACTTCACCCTTTTCTGTTTTAATCAAGTGGCAACCTCCGTAACTGGCAAATGAAGCCAAAATTAAAAAAAATCTTCAATTCCTCCAACAGCCACTTGACACTGGTTACAGAAGTGATCAAGGCCCCATTATTATGGCAGAAATAAACATGTTTACAGCCTGGTATAAAATAAATTTTTGGGCTCAACAGTAAATTTCATGATACCTGAATAAATTTTTGTGTAATTCACCTGTTTAAATTATAGCAAGGCTCGAAGTTATTCATAATAAAGGGAACAGCCACTCGGTTGTTTTCAGTAACCATTTTTGGATGGAGCCACCACACTGTGAGCTTGACAACTCTATGCACATTTTTAGTTAAACAGTCTGGTTTTATTAAGAAATCAAATAATAACCTATTATTATTAATCGATTAATTATTATTAATTATTTTGGTACACAAAGGTAGTGTGTTTCAATACAGTTCACATCAGTAAACATTATTCATCATTGCTGGGGATGGAAACACTGAGACATCACTAAGACACAGCACACGTCAAGGAAGTTCTACAACTGACAGCAATACTGGATTTAATTGCAGCGATAACTACAATATTAACAATGTATGTTACTGATGAATCAAAAGGCACACATACACAGACACAAACAACACAAAATCACCTCGCTCGCATATTTTACTCACACACTCACAAACCTTTCCAGTACATACGGGAAAGAATTGTGAAATCATTGTCTGTGTGTCCTTGCTCTTCCTCTCCCACGCAGGCTCTTAAGACAAGCGTGGATGTAATTACCATGCATGTTACATTTTGTATGCTTGTGTGTGTGTGTGTATGTGTGTGCGTGCTAATGCATGTTCTTTGCTGCCGCTCCACCTACACGCTCACTCTAGATGGACAGTTAATAACACCCAGTAATAGCCTGCCACTTGACAGAATGCTATATGTTGTCAAGTAGTTTTGTACATTAAATTGTGTGTGTGTATGTGTGTGTTTGCAGGCATAGAACAGGATCCTATAGTTATCTGAAGTACTGCCCATCGGCGGATAGTGGAGAGTAACAGTGCGGGAGTGTCTGACATAACAGACTGAAGGAGAAAAAAAGAAGTTGCATTAATAGAAAGTTTACTTGGGAGTTCAAAGAGATAAGGGGGGGAGAGCAGGTATGACATGTTTAATGAAAATATTTTTCCCAATCTTCACTATAGCCAGAACAAAACCCCAAATTGCTGCAATTATTGAATAAATGCATTTAACTTTGCAGTATTATTTAAATAAATCCAAAATAAATCTGTTTTAATGCAACAAATGTTTATTGAAATGCATTCCTCATCACCATTTTTAAGTTTTGAAAAGTTTTTGTTCAGAGAGAAAAGACTTGAAAGAAAATGACAATAATATGATTGAGAAAGAGAGATAGGATGGGGAGAGATGTATCATAGTGCAATGAATTATGGGTCATCTATGGTCATTTGTTGCCCTCAGCTTGGTCATTATTATAGCTCAGCATACTGGTGACATTCACCCACCCTAAGAGTTTCACATGTGTGCGCTTCTGAAGAGACACGTGCACGGAGATACATAAGCACATAATGTATTTCACACCAGTTCAGCTGAGTCTAAAGTAATGATCTGAGAGAGAACCAAAGCAAAGGAGGTAAAAATAACAGCATTACACAGAATGACAAAGACGGTGTTATGAAAACCTAGCTGTGTACGGTTAAATAAACACTCCTCATACAATAGGCGGAGAAAAGCTGGTTGTGTGTGCGTGCGTGCGTGCGTGCGTGCATGTGTGTGTCCACAGTAGCAGAGAGGCACTATTTACACCCCTAAGCTCCATTCAACACAATTAGCATCCCAGTTTCCCTCTGAAGTGGAGAGAAAAGGAAAGAGCAATCCCCACCGCTGTGCTAATTAGTGTGTGATGTGTGTGTGCTCATGCATGCATGAGTGTGTTTTCTCAATATGTCATACTTTCTTCCTTTTGAAGAAAACAACAAAGAAATACAAATAGAAGGAATGAAGGAGACAGATGAACAGAACATATAGAAACTGAAGAATGATTCAGGGAGTATGGAAAGAAGTTTGGAAAGCAAGAGGGAGAGGAGTCTGCAGAAGCAAGGAAATCTACAGTAGATAAGCAAAAAGTCATTTTAACTGCACAGACCTTAGTAGGGATTTGTCAAAAGTTGAAAGACTGACAAATTAATATTGTGTTCTTAACCTCTAAACATCAAAGTCATTACACACTTTGTTCAAACCCACAGAACTGTATTTTCAGTTCTAGTGGAGATCCCAGAGTTTCTAAATATACCAAATATGAATTTGGAGTAAATGTTATATCAAATGATGCACATGATATCTAGAATAATTCCAATTGATTGAATGGTTCAACCATAAACTCATAGAGTCTCGGGTTTGAGCTTCAATGAGGAGCTTAAACAATATGTGGCTCTGAGTGGAATTATTTCAGTTGTGTCGGTTGTATAAATAGTGCTAGTTTTTCTCAAAATTAAAAACCATATATTCACCACATATTATCCTGCCCACCTTTCCTAAGCCCTTTGAAAGCAATGTTGCCTCTGACTTTGACTCTCCATTAGACTGTCACCCCTTTCAGAAAGAAAAAGAAAGAAAGACAGGACCAGTCTTGAATTTTATGGACTCAAACATCTGATTTCTTGCGCTGAACAAAGGGTTTGATGCAAATGAATGGTTTGATAAAATGATATGGCACTCGGCGTCTCCCCTCTGACCATAATTATTCTCTGTTCTTTGGCAGAACACAGTGGACAAGCTGATAAAGAAGACCAACCTGGCTCTGCTGGTAGGAACCAACAGCTGGAGAGACCAGTTCATAGAAGCCATCACTGTGAGCGCAGGTAAGGCCAGTGTGTGTCTGTGTGTGCACTGACTGTGTGTCTGTTTATCAATCACTGATGGACTCGGGGGTGAAAAAAACACAACGAAAGTGCCCTCTTGGATGCCCCTATGGTAGATGAAACATGATAAAGTGCCCTGTAGGGTGCCCCTCCAGTGGAGAAAATGTGATGAAGTGCCCTCAAGGGTGATAATCCACACCCTGACTAAGCTGTTTGACCATAAATGCATTACAGTTTTCTGCGTGCTGGTGCGCTTTTGATCTTTTCCACCCCTGCCCCTAGAACAGCCCACCAGTCTACCCCTGTTATCAATTTGATAATTCAGGCGTTAAACTTTGAATTTTATTGGAATCAACTGAGGTGGTTTGAAGAAGCAGATGTGTGTAGCGTATAAATTCTTTTTAGTATAAACAGCTGCAGTTTAATACTGTTGAGGTCTATGTGGTCCTCTGCTCTGTGTGCCCAATACGACCAAAAATATCAGAAACCCCTCGTGTGAGTGTGTGTGTGTTTGATTTTTAATAGTTACTGGAAAGTAGTCTGGGCTGGCTTGATGGTTTGGACAAACAAACTCTGACCAGATGGGAGATTACGTTGAGAGTGATTGTGGGAGAGATTGTGTGTGTTTCAGCCTCCACAATGACAGAAGAACATTGACGTGTGTGTGTGTGTGTTTATGTAGGATGGAAAGAAAGGAATATTTCACACTAAGATCTTGTCACTGTCGAGATCTGTTGTAAGTCACAATGATGTTGATGTCCCTTGAAGAGAAAGAGAAAGAGAGCATGCACGCAAACAGGGAGAGATAAGAGAGGCTGGTGAAAGAGAGAGAGACAATGTATAATGCAGAGATTGATGTCGAGAGAGAGAGAGAACGCATGCAATTTGACAAAACCATTGAGAAACATATAGTGGGAAAAAGAGAATGCATACATGAAGAGAAATATAAACCAAGGAATAGAGGAAGACAAAGTAGAAGTAGGAACAGGAGATTGGTTAAAGAAACAGAAGAGGGAAAAGGAACAGGAGAGAAAAGTGAAAGTAGAGAAAAGAGGCAGAATTTTTTTTTCTGTTTCACTGCAGAATCTTCACAGTTCATTGGTTAGTAGTGGTAACTTGCCCTCTGGAGGCAGGATTACATCACTGCAGCTCATTAATGGAAAAAAAGAGAGAGGAAAGAGTTTATTCTGTACTTTGAATAGCAAGAAGTTGTATTTGCTGTGGTGTTTCTGATTCAAAATTAACATATCAGTCCATCGGTGATATTTATTTTTTCTATTAATCTCTCTCCCTCTGAGATTATCTGTTCATCCCATACTCTAACATAACACTTCCTCTGTGGATTTTACCTGCAAAAGAGCTTGACACAAACAGCAAATGTAGGAGTTTGTAACCTTTGCTGTAAAACTTGGTTAGATTTAAAGGATTTAATTTGAATTTTTAATTTTTTGGAGAAATACGCATTTGCTTTATTGCCATGAGTTAGGTGAGAAGATTAAATAATACCATTTTCATATCTGTATGGTACTAAGGCTACAGCCAGCAGCTGGTTCATAGAGACTGTCCTGACCTTCGGGGAGATAACTGTATTCAGTGTTAGAGGCAGGTCTCTGTTTTTTCCTATAAATGTTGCTCACTGGCACATTAAGCCCAAATAGCCACTTCCCACTGTAAATAAATTAAATGAATGCATACTGCGGATGCTCTACGGGCCACCAGAGACTTCCGCCGACCAGTCTGACTGCAAGTTTAGCCCTCCATTAAATTACATGAGGATAAAATGATTTAATCGTGCAGCTCTTATAGACTTTCCAAATGTTATTGATGAATTATTATGTAAGGAAAATAGCTTGTTTATTTCCGATTGCTGACTGACTGAGATTATCAAGAATTCAGGATGACACTACAAGGTGATGAACTGCATATACAAGCATAATAATAAATAGCGTGGAGCAAATCCTGGTTTAAATTAAGCAAAATATTTATTTATTTGACATTTGTTTGGTGTTTATCTTACGTGAAAATAGTGCAGATTATCGTTGTAAACGCATATTTGGACAAAGAAATCACCCTATTTGCTGCTGCCGTTTTTGAAACTGGATTTCTATTAGAGCATTGTTCGTCTATAGCCAGCTCAATCACTTTCGTGCCTTCAAATAACTTTATCCTGTGGGTGTGGGTGTATGTGTGTGTGTTTGTTTGTGCTTTAGTTAGCCAGCCTGTCAGCCAGCCTTTGTTGGCGAGCTGATGCCATTAATGAAAAGGCCTGTCTTCGCTCTCTTATCTGGGATTAGCTTGTCTAGGCTGACAGTGTTGTGTGTGTGTTAAAGAAAGAGCTGTAAAAAGGCAGTGAGTGCAATTTCCACTAAAGAGAAAATGCTCTCTAACACACACACACACACATATGGCTTCATTAAATTGTATTTGTACAATGATTGCATATCCAGGGTTTCACCATGATTCAGCATGAATGTACCTGTAAAGTGTAACAGGTAAACTGTGGCACACATACAAGCACACACACCTATACACACACACAAATAACACACACACACACACACACAACAAATGGAGTTGACAAGCAAAACCAGATCAAACTGGAGGCTGATTGGTTTTTCAGTTCCTTTAAACTTGGAACTGATTGATATTTGGGGAGTTCAAAGTGTTTGAGAGCTGATTGGATGCTTACAGATAAAACTGGCAGCTGATTGGGTAGACAGACGTCCAGCTGCGAAACAATTGATTAGGGTACAAAGACACTGCTCTTTGTTTATTGAGAATGGGAACAAAAGCGTGGAAGGAGAAGGGTATGATAAAAAAAAAAGATGATAAAGATTAGGTGCATGCTGAGAGAGAATGAAAACAAAGGTGGAGAGAGGTGTTGATACAGTCAAGTCCATTCATGTTCTTGTATACTTTGAAAATGTCTATAAAGTACATACTGTGTAGTATTAATATGCAGTATATAACCGGGACTCAACCACAAAGACCCCATGTAGAGAAGGAAGTTTGTTTAGGGATATAGGGAGCTGTGATCAGTATGTAATCAATTACATCTGTTATTATTACCACCAGCTCCGATTGTCTGGGTTTTACCACATTGCACCAAGACTCATTCACACCCAGCAAGTTTTAAAGTGTTTATTTGAACCCTGCCGTGTTTGCTGTTTTGGCTCAGTTAATTTGGCAAAGTCAGAGCTTAACATGTGTGGCACCAAATAACCTTCTTGCAATGCCTGAAAACACAAGGCAATTTTTTTTCCCCGACAGAAATACTGTCCCAATTAGAAACACTTTAAACAAGTGTTTTAAACATGTTTGAAACTCATATTAAGATGTTTCTTCATGTCTTTTTAATAGTATGTACACCAAAGAGGAACTTAAATGATTATTAGACTGCAATCAGCAAAGCTAAAGGTGCATTAAATGGCTTTAGGTGGGTTTATCTTCCTTTTCTCTTTTTCATTTTGCTCCATTTACTGCACTGCCTCTCTTTCCATTTCTCCCACACTCTCTCTCTATGCCTCCCCCATAATTCCCAAACATATAAGGAAGGTAAAAGATTAATTATTTCTACTGTGGAATATAAATGTGTTGAGTCTATGATGGAGGCACTAGGAGGCTATGTGACGCTAGACCAGGGTCACCTACTCTAGTACTTACCTACTCCCTACTTCTCCCTCATGGATGGATGGATGGGCAGGTGAGTGCTAGAGATAAGAGACAAAGAGAAAATGTAAGAAAAGTAGAGTTCGGAAAGTGACTTAACACCCATTAAAAAACTTTTTTGATAGATAACTAAACATCGTGCCATAACACAGAAGCAAAATGGGCTAAAATGGTCATGATTACTCTCATTACTAAAGGGGGGATTGACTAAAGGAAAGAAGAAAAGAATACAATGAAGGACAATTAGTCTCGACAAAAAACTAATAATCTTAGACATCTGTTCAAGGAGATCTTGTGCCATTGTTGTGGACACACCATGTGGACTTGACACACTTTTTTACAAATTGAGCACACATAGACACACAGACAGACACACACACACTTACACAATAAGCCCAAATGGAGACACGCTGTAACTTGGCAGCTAATCCCCTCAAACACACCATGCTGGTTCAAGGGTTTGAACAAGTCCAGAGCGCCTGTCACTGATACGGTGGTGGATTTAATACACACTGATAAGATAGCTTTGTCTAATCTCATCTCTCCCTCTCTCTTTCTGGTTCTCATTCTTACTCACCCTCCCTCTATCATCCTGCCTAACTCTCTCTTATCTCCTCTCCTAACTCTCTCTTATCTCCCCTCCTAACTCTCTCTCTTATCTCCCTCAAACGTATTAGATTAAAATCACTTTAAAGGAGCCTTAAATATTCCTCCTTCTTGACCGAAGACATTTAGAATTTATTTTTGTCTCCATCATCCTTACCCTCCATCTGAAGCGTCAGATCGAGATCTCAATGTTCAGACGCCCCCCAGAAATGAGTTGGGCCTCATATAATGGCAGAGAATTTGTTGTTGCTTATCAGTTCAATAAGATTGCAGATTTGGAACAGCTTTTCTGCTAAGATGGCAGCCATGAAACGTCATTAAAATCTGCCAGGGCTTAACCTTTAGGTCACCACATCAGAACACCAATTTGGCGATTACACTGATGTGCACATATGTACACACACATGCACACAGAATGCTCCTAAGACCGTGACATTCATTCAAAGCAAGAAACCTGCATTTTGCCAGCCATTAAAGCCCTCTGAAATGTCAGTGTGCTTGTGTTGTGTGAGTGTGTGTCTGTGTGTGTCTGACCTGTTTTCCCTTGTGTGTCTTTTGTGTTTATGTGGCTAATGGAGATTTTCCCCAGATAAGCTAGCACACAGAGACGGGGAAAGATTACGTGTCCGTGTGTGCTGTTGTGCACATACATTATGTGACAAGCCTGCCAAGTTGCCATTTGGTGAACAGCTTGATAGTTTTTGAATCCTTAATGTATTTGTTAT